CTCAGTGTTCCCCGACTCCTCTCTGGTCTCTATCAGCTCCTTTGCTGGCTCCTCTGACCTGCCTCTCTGATGCCTGTGCTCCAAGGAAGCTCTGGGCTTCTCTTTTCTCCTGGTGCAATCTCCAGGCAACCTCTTCCACTTTTTTTGGTTTTTGTTACCACCCACATATGACTGATCCTCAAATCTCTCTCCCCAACCCTGACCAAGTCTCAGGCTTACACATACCTAATTTTCTGTAGAACGTCTTCACCTGAATTTCCCCAAAACCCTTACGCTCATCATGTTCAAAATAGAACACGTTCAGCAAGGTTACAGGAGACAAGATCAACACATACACACACAAATATTAATCACATTTTACATGTTAACAATGAACATGCAGAAACTGAAGTTACAAACACAATACTAGTTACAATTGGTTCCAAAGAAAATGAAATACTTAAGTATACATTTAACAAAACATGTGCAGGATCTTGAGATATAAATTACAAGATGCTGATGAAAGAAATCAAAGAACACTTTAATAGATATAGAGATATACCAATTCCCTGCATTGGAAAAAAACAATGAATATAAAAATTCTGCCAAAATTTACCTATAGATTTAATGCAATTGTTATAAAATCCCAGTAAGGTGTTTTGTGCACAGAGAAAAATGTATTCTAAAATTTATATGAGGCTTAGCATAGTGGCTCATTCCTGTAATCCCAGCACTTTGGGAGGCCGAGGTGGGCGGATCACCTGAAGTCAGGAGTTCAAGACCAGGCTGGCCAAAATGGTGAAAACCCATCTCTACTAAAAATACAAAAAAAAAAAAAAAAAATTAGCTGGGCCTGGTGGGGGGCGCCTGTAGTCCCAGTTACTCAGGAGGCTGAGGCAAGAGAATTGCTTGAACCCCGGAGGTGGAGGTTGCAGTGAGCTGAGATCGCGCCATTGCACTCCTGCCTGGGCAACAAGAGTGAAACTCCATCTCAAATAAATAAATAAATAAATAAAGCAGAATAAAATAAAATTTATATGAGAGATCACACACTCTGGAGTAGTTAAAACGATCTAGACAAAGAAGGAGGAGCCATTCCACCTGATGTTAAGCCTTACAAGATACCTACAGTGAACAAGGCAGTATGGTATTCGTGGAAGGAAAGACACATAGATCAATGGAACAAAATAGAGAATCCATACATAGACCCATGAAAACAAGCTCAACTGATTTTTAACAAAGGCGTTAAAGCAGTTCAAATGGATAGCGTGTCCTACAAATGGTGCTAAAGTAATTGAACACTGAACATCCACAAGCAAAAACAAGAACCTTAAGCTAAACCTCACAACCTGAACAAAAATTAACTCAAAATAGACCATAGATTTAAATGTAAGACATAAACAATAAAAATATTTTTAAAATAATAGAATATCATTGGAATTGGGATCTAGCGCTAGGCAAAGTGTGCTTGGATTTGACACAATCACAACTCATAAAGATGCACAACTCACAAGCACAACTGATAAACAGAATCCTTTATAAATTATAGGGCTTCATCAAAAGTTAAGACTTTTGCCGTGCTAAAGACCATATTCAGAGGATGAAAGGATAAGCTACACATTGGGAAAAAATATTTGCTAACCACATATACAAAAAGGACTAGGCATCAGGAAGGAGGAAACTATTCAATTTACACTTTAAATAGGTACCAGAAGAAATAGATGCTAACTCAGAATTCCATAACCATAAAAAAATATTGGCCAGGTGTGGTAGCTCGTGCTTGTAATCCCAGCACTTTGGGAGGCAGAAGCAGGCAGATCTCTTGAGCCCAGGAATTCAAGACCAGCCTGGGCAACATAGTGAAACCTCATCTTTACAAAATGTAAAAAAAAAAAAAAAAAATTAGCCAAGCATGGTGGCATGCACCTGTAGTCCCAGCTACTTGGGAGGGTGAGGCAGGAGGATCACTTGAGCACGGGAGGTGAAGGCTGCAGTGAACCATGATTGCACCCCTCCACTCCAGCCTGGGTAACAGAGCAAGACTCTGTCTCAAAAAAAAAAAAAATTTTTTTTTTCAAAATTGAAGATAAAATGAACACATTTTCAGAAAAACAAATGCTGAAAAAATTCATCACCAAGAGACTTATGAGAAATGCTAAAGAATCTTCCTGAGACTGAAAAGAGATGATAGAAGATGAAAAGTGAAATCTACAGGAAATAAAGGAAAGTGCCAGTCAGTCAATAAATTGATTAATATCACAAAAAGCTGTTGCCTTATTCTCTTAAAAGACAATTTCTTAAAAGGCAATTCACTGTTTAAATCAAAGTGGGATTTATAATACATGTAGAAGTGAAATTTAAGACAGCATGAAGCATAGAGAAATGAAATTGAGTTATACTCTTCTAAGGTTGCTTTATTTGGGAAGTGAAAAATGGGAAGTGCATGGTGGTAGAAGTGAGGTGAGAAATTAGCAATATGAAGTAGGAAGTGTCAGGTGAGAAGTGTGAGGTGGTAGGAATTGATTCTAAAGAGACTTTGATAGATTAAAGATGCATATTATTAGCCCCAGAGCAGCCATTACAAACACAGGAAAAGATATGGGTAAGAATTCAGCAGAAGAAATACCATGAGATGCTAAAATATCCAAACAACCCAAAAGCACACAAGAAATGAAAAACAGAGCAACAAAAAATGGAAAAGAGAAATTTAAAAAACAGTGAGATGGAAGAATTAAACCATGCCATATCAATAGTTACAATGCATATAAGTGAACTAAAACACTAAGGAAAAGGCAGAGAGTAGCTAATTTTAAAAGGCAGGATGCATCTCTATGTTGCCTACAAGAGATGCTCTTTGAATCAAATAACACAAATAAGTTTGAAAGTATACGAATGGAAAAAATATACCACGCAGAAAATAAGAAAGCTGGAATAGACTTCAAGACAAGGAATATTACAAGAGATAAATGGGATGTTTGATAATAAGCAAAGGAGAAATTCATCAAGAAGACATAAGGACTCTAATGCACGTAATAATATAGTTTAAACATGAGAAAAAAACTGAGAAAACTGAAGGAAGAAATAAATTCATAATCAAAGTTGGAAACTAAAATCTTGAACAAATAGACAAGTAGACAAGAATAGATGAAAGTATTTGTAAGGCTATAAAATGTCTGAATACTGTTATCAACCAACTTGACCTGACCGACATTTCCAGAACACTACACCAAATTACAGCAGAATATATTTCTTAAAGTTTTTTTTCTTTTAACTTTTACTTAAGGTTCAGGAGTACGTGTGCCTTAGGTATGGTATATAGGTAAACTTGCGTCACAGGGGTTTGATATATAGATTATTTCCTCATCCATGTACTAAGCATAGTACCTGATAGGCATTTCATCTGATCCTCTTTCTCCTCCCACCCTCCACCCTCAACAGACCCTAGCATCTGTTGTTCCTCTCTGTCTTCACGTGTTCTTGTCATTTAGCTCCCATTTACAAGTGAGAACATGCAATATTTTGTTTTCTGTTCCTGCATTAGTTTACTTAGGATAATGGCCTCCAGCTCCATTCATGTTGTTGCAAAGGATGGAGATGGATGATCTCGGTCTTTTTTATGGCTGCATAGTATTCCATGGTGTTTATGTACCACATTTTCTTTATTCAGTCTATCATTGATAGGAATTTAGGGTGATTCCAGGTCTTTGCTATTATGAATAGTGCTGCCATGAACATACTCATGCAAGTTGCTTTCTGGCAGAATGATTTGTATTTTAGGGGATATATACTCAATAATGGGATTGCTGGGTCAAATGGTAATTCTGTTTTTCATTCTTTGAGAAATCATCACACTGCTTTTTTTTTTTCATGTACACATGGAAGTTCACCAAATTGCCTATAGATGAGGCGATAAATTTCAAACAATTGAGGGGAAAATAAATTTGCCTTGTCTTGTCTTCTCTGCGCATCTAAAAAGTTCTACAAATGGGGAGCAAGATATGGACAGGTGGTACTTTGTCCCACCCATTTTCTGCCCATCTTTTCAAACTGCAATAAGCCCAAGAGTCGCTACTCCCATGAAGCCCTGATAAACACCACCCAAAACTGGCCCCTCGATTGGTGCCTACCTTCAACCTTCCATATTCTTTATGACACCCACAACGCCTTATCACACTTTTTTTTGCACATTTTTCTGAGTATTGGTCTCCCTTTCCTAGACCACTAGTCCCAAGAACAGGGATCACATACAATTTGTGTGTGCAGACCCAGTCCCTAGCACAGTGCCTGTCGCAGAATAGGCATTTAATAGTTGTTCGTCAATGAATGTTATTCTTAGTAATGGTTGTGTCCATTTTAAAGCAAGTAGACTGGCTTCTGTGCCCATCACCTGCCCGCCTCAAATAAAGGAAAAGTCCCAGGGAAAGACAGCATGATGAAAAATAGGCCTGAAGGAAAAGATTAAAGGAAGCACATTTTGACTGACAAGAAGAAAGAGAAGTTTCCTTACGAATGATTTTCTGTGCCAGCAGAAGATATTGCTTAGTGACAAAGTCAGAGTGAATGACCTTAGATCACCAAAACAATTCAGAGAGAAATAAGAAAGAAGTCCCTGTACAAAATAGATGGAAGCAGCAGGCTCTGCCGAAAAGCTGTGGAATTTTGATACTTGAGAGTTTAATAAAGCCAGCAAAGATCAGTTATTTGGAGCAGTTAAATGTGGGTCCAGCAGAAGGATGACCTATTTGAGGATTTTCCCAAACAACAATTTTACCTATGAGTAAATGGAGACACTGCAGGGAAATGTGAAAACGATTATTAGTGTATTCTTTGCCAGGAATATTTTCCCATCACTGTTTTTGTGTCTTATGATTCCCTGACCATTCTTTTAGACTTTAGATCGGGGCTGTCTCTTTTATCTTTTGAACCTTAGGCCTAATGGAGAGCCAAAGACAAAGTAAAGACTAAATCCTTATTGTTGAAAGAATGTTTGTTAAATAGCATAGATATTATTCACCAGTTTCTTTGGGTTTGAATTTGTTTATTAATAAAGGAGACAAGTTTGCAGCATTCACCATTCAGGTCATCTTTCTTACCCATTGTCAAATCCTCGGCCACCCAATTCTGTGAAATAGTGAAAAAAAAATAGCCAGTTCTATGTGTTGTTCCACTTGTAACTCGTTGTCACACTGAAAAGTGAAAGTCACAATACTGTATTATATTTTGACGTGTTGTAACATCACTAGGAAAGCTACCTGCTTTAATTCGTACGCAAGAACTTTCGATTATTTATCATATTTCTTACATATATTGTTTCTTATATATCCTATCTTCCTACACATGAACTATTTGATTTATACGTCATATTTGAAAACAGATCTTTTATTTAGACTTTTCAACAGTATGCAGTGCTTTACCAATGCAAATGCCTTACTGATCAACCAATATTCAGTGTCTGTCTCCTCCATGTGAAAGTTTGTAAGAGCATTTTTATTATGTGTTTATACTTCAGCTAAGGACTGAACCACATAGCCTGCAGAGGTGCTCTATCTTCATGTTTCTATGGTACAACAGAGCACATCTGGACTTACATCAGTGGCTGCACTCAGTTCCTGTAGAATAATACTCCTAGTCCTCATTCACCATGATTATAAAAAGAAAATTCAATTACGAAGCCACAGCATCCAAACTACTCATGCCTGCAGCCCCAAGACCTCATTCATCTGGAGACAGGCTAATGACAGGGCAACTAAGCATTGGAAAATTTGAAAATTTACTTCAAAATAAATTTGCTTTAAAAATGTGGGTAACAATTGCAACTGTAAGATTAAGCCAGGTTTGTCTCATTGTGTAGATTTCTTCCCATATCCTGCCCCCTTACTTTATGACAGTAATGATTTTGTGACTAAGACTGGTGTCACTATAATATTCTTGGGACAGAATGATAGTCCAGTGACTCATCAGACAGTACAAAGGGAAAATATTCAAGAAATTTAACATCATTGGTATTTGAAATATTTCAATACTGTGAATCCCTTCCTAAAAATAAGGACAACTAAATAACTTTCTTCATTAATAAAAAGCCACAATCAAAACAACTGTGACAGAGTGTAGAACAAATTATAATTACTTAAAGAATCATCATGATGATGACTCATAAAAACCTTAACATTTGCCAACCAATTTTTCTTGTCAAAATACATTGTTTCTTCTGGGGTTCATATCCTCAATTTGCCCAATTACTCTCCATTATTTTTATTTTTATTTTTTGGTGGCTGAGACACAAAATAGTATTCAGATTCTAAAGACTTCTATCTGTAGGAACAATATTTGAGAAGCAGATGAGTACCTTTCGAAGACAAATGTTGAGATTTGTGAGTGGGACAGATAGGGAAAAAAGAGTTACATGAGGACTTTGGCCTATGCCGAGAAGTTTTTGAGTCGATTGGGAGCTCTGGAAAACCAATGACATGAACTCTCAGCGTTGCTGGTGTCTCATTTTTCTCTTTCTCTCTCTTTTCACGCTTCTCTTCTTCTTCCCTGGATCCATGTGTCTGTCATTTACCTTCCTCCACTCCCTCTCCTCTGTCTCCCTTTTCCTGTGCTGCTGTCTGCACACAGCAGCTGTCCGAAGACTGTCCAGCCTTCAGAGATAACTGCGTTTGGAGTCTGCAAAAATGGGTGTCTGTCCCTTTCTGTAGCACCTCTAGGAAACATGAACCATGTCCAAGATACAATTAATTCCATCACATCTTATCCTCAGCAAGATACAGATTCATTTACATTAAAAGTTGTATAGGCACAGAACTCATCCTTAGGAAGTTGTCCATGTTTGTTTTAAGTGACCATATTCATAAGCCCTCTCATAGGTTTCAGTGTTTCCCTCCCAGCGCATTTAACCTCTTCTGACCCCCCACTGGCTGTTTGGTGACCACCTGCCCCAGCACCTTAGCTTTCCTTACTCAACAATATCCCATGCTCTAAACCTCCTTTCATCAAAATTATGCCCCATTCCCTTAGGATACTGCTAAGTGAAGTTAATTTGATTGATTACTATCAATCAAGACACTAATGATTTAATATATATTTGAATTTATCAGGGATTGTTTGATGAGAACACTTAACATGAGATCTATCCTCTTAACAAATTTTCAAGTGCACAGCATAGCAATGCTGACTCTAGGCACAATGTTGTACATAGATATCTAGAACTTATCTTCCATAAATGCGTTTAGTTGAGGTTTTCTCAAAGAAGTGGTTCAAATAATGTCTTTATATAGTACCTACTCTATGTCAGGTACCCTGGAAAATCTTGGATATTCAGAAGTAGACAAAATACATGCAGTCCTTATCTTCTTGGAGCATTATAATGTAGTGGATCTTCGAGTGAACATTGCAGAGTGGCTGTCTCCATACCATTCCAATCACATCATCCTGCATGCAAACCTCCCTGTAGGGAGATCTTCTATTATGATATCACACAGACTGTAAACAATCTATAAAAGTTCATTCTGGGTAGCATTTGTTTTCTGAGACTCAGGATGTAATGCTGTTGGTGTTATTCTAGCACCAACAATAACCACGTGAGACAGTTCTATTCCCATTTTGCAGAGAAGACTGGCTTTACAGAATTAAATCCTCTACCTATGGGTCATGGGACAAGCAAATAACAGTATCAGGATCTGGAGATGACTTTGAACTCCAAGTCCAACATTGTCCACTCCACCACAGGCGCCACCTCAGATTCTCCCCAAGTCCCCATGGATATGGAGTGAGTAGATAATCAGGATTTGCATGCCATCTTCAGCTTCTCATTGGATGCCCACATGGTGGGAGGAATGTAACTGTAACACAGGTTTTAAGGTCTTACTACCATAATAGTCCTATGCTAATAACGTATCATTCTTACTGTGTAAATCAAGACACTTATTGGATGCCCACATGGTGGGAGGAATAGAATTGTAAGGCCAGTTTTAAGATCTTACTATTGTAATAGTCCTATGCTAATAACGTATCATTCTTACTGTGTAAATCAAGATTGACAAGCTGTTCAGCCATCCAGCTCACTTTTAATAATGATTCATTACATTCATGAAACTGAGAGTTGATGTAGCATGAAAAATCATAGTGCTACTTTATGAATATTATATAAACGAGTCAACAATGGCATCTGTGTATTGGGCCCTAGATGGTTCATTTCTTCACTGCAGGCAGAGACCCACTAACTCAAAAGTCTGATAGCTCCAAACTCAAATTTTTACACATCCAACTGTTAAATCGGTCCAAATAAGCAGATAGTCCAAATTAGCATATTTGTAGCCACTTAGAGCCCGTCTGTATTGTGTATTCAGTAAAACTGCTCCAAACATCTGCTAGCAACAGACAAGTTCTGGGCCCTAAAGACCCCAAGCTGCTGCCGCCCTTTGGAGCCGTCTGAGTCAGACTCTTGCCATGCTGCTAATGACGTTATGGAGACACATAGCCCTCTATCAAATTCCCCTCTTCCCTGGAAGTTCCCTTGCCCTCCACTCCTTCTGAGTGGTCATTCCCTGTACTTTAAACTCTGGAAGATCTCATGCTATGAGGGACTTCTCCTGCATGCAAACCTGTCAAAGGGAAATAAAACTTATCTGTGTTATTGCCACCTTATGGTCATGTATTCTTTTTAAAAATCAGCCCCCGTATCCCTCAAAGCATCTACAATAATCTAAAATGTCCTTGTTTCATTTGAAGACACACAACATACATACTCCCCAAGCAAAAGCATGAAGTCAGCTTATTTTCATTTGTGCGTGGTATTTGGTAAATATTCAGCCACAACTAGTATTATGGAACGGTAGTAGGCACAGGTGATTCTTATTTGACAGTTGTGTCGCTTGTGACATAGAAGTGAACTAATTCACAGAGTAGATACTACCAGTCACATGAACTCAGTAGCTCACTGCTTCAAAGTTAATAGAGTGCCCTCATGAGATCAGTCCTATTTTGGAAATGTTTGGGGGTCATAGGAATAGAAAGTAAAGAACATCTTGTGGTCCCAGAAAATAAAAGGAAACACTAAAAAATAAAATAAAATAAAATAAAATAAAATAAAATAAAATAAGGCTTGTTTAAGTACAAGGGCCCACTTGACTGGTTAACGTTAGAGCAAATTGAGTCACTAAGTAAATAATGGTAGTACTGAACACACAGAATAAAATAAATATCTATGGTTCCAAATTGTTATAAATAATAAAATAAGCAAACAAACAGGGAAAGAAATGGCTCTTCCTCATAGAAGAATTTAAATAAATGGAGAAGATAAAAAACCATAATCGCCATTAGGCAACTACCACAATAGTAATTATCACAGACAGACAAGGTGCTCTCATGACTCTCGTGGATGCAAAAATTTATGGAAGTTTGAGAATAGAATTTGCAAGTTTCAATGTATTTCCCCAAGATACATATTAACTACAAAGGGAAAAATGTAACTTTACAGTAAAAAACATGGCAGACACCCACCTAACCAAAGCAATCAAAGTAAATATCAATGATAAGACACAGAGATTATCAACCCCTTAGTATGATGCCCTGAGGACACCACAACACCATTTCTGTGGCATTCTTGCCAAAAATCTGTAACTTCATTCCAATTATGAGAAAGTATCAGAAGAATTCAGATTGACAGACATTCTATAGAACAACTGATCCAGCCAGGCATATTGCACTCTGTGGTCCCAGCTATTTAGGAGGCTGAGGCAGGAAGATGTCTTGAGGCCAGGAGTTTGAGGCTGCAGTGAGCTATGATCAAACCTGTCACTAGTCTCTGCACTCCAGCCTGGGCACCATAGCAAGACCTGATCTCTAAAACAAAACAACACATCAATACTCTTCATAAGTGTCAAGTGATAAAAGATAAAACCAAGGACTGAAAAACTGTTACAGACAGGAGGAGACTAAGGAGAATTAACTAAATGCAATGTGGGATCCCAGGTAGCATCTTGGAACAGAGAAAGGATGATAATGGAAAAAACGGTGAAATTTGGGAAAACATCTATAATTAATATTATACTGATGTTAGTTTTCTGTTCTTGACCATCGTGCTATGGTTATGATGTAAGATGTTCACATAAGGGTAAGTAAGCTGGTGAGACATAAAGGAATTTTTTGTACAATTTTTCCAACTTTTCTGTAAGTCAAAAATAGGTCAAAATAAAACGTTTAACAAAATGAATTAATATTTAAAAAGTGGTTGGTCAGTGAGGCAAACACTAGGTGCTAGCCTCATAGCTAGGAAAAAAAAAAAAAGAAAAAAAAAACCCTGAAATTAGGTGACAGGAGGTCTTTAATCCAGTTTTTTGGTTCAAACAAATTGAGAAAGAGAAATGTTCCATAATTTAACAAAAGCAACCCAGACACAAACCACACCCTAGTTTTCAGCTCAGGTTGTCTTCCTAGACTTCTTAGTATATCCTAAAGTCATAGGCAGGAAGTCCAATGTCAAGGACAATTACACAGAATGGGAAATCTTATGTGACATATTTATGGTTTTTTAGTTTTTGAACTTATACAGTCAGGATAATTTTCTGAAATGCATGCTCATTTAGGATCAGGGAATATTGAAAGGGATATTGATGAATAATCAATAAAATTACATCCAATGATTATGAAAGTATAAAGTATAAATATTGCTTACATTAAAATCAGAATGTCAGTAGAGAATATTTGCTAACAGTATGTATGTTGAAGGAGGGTTTTATTATTTTGGGGAAAATGACACAAAATTCCAGGAAATTACGATCTTACTATTCTCGCCACAGGTGAAACAGGAAAATCACTTTTGAAACAAATATTTGATTATTAGGATAAAATAGCAATGAAGTTTTTCCTTCTTAATAATCAAAGTTTTTTTAAGACTTCAAGGAAATAACGCAGAAATAACTAGAGAACTTAAAAGAACAGAAGAGACTGATAATGTGAAATCCTGCCCAGATGATCTCAACAGCTTTGTAACAAGAATGATACAATGTACATTCATGAGATGTACCAAAAATGGTTACCGTTTTATCTTGAATACAGTGAATTGCTAATTTATGTATTAAAAATTACCATTGTGTTACACAGATTACTGGTTCCCAATCCTGGCTACACCACATAAAAACCACTTGGGGAGTTTTTTATAAAAATGCCAATAGCTGGTCCCTTCCCTCAGAAATTGTAACTTAATTCATGAGAAGTGAAGCTGAGCATCAACGTTTTAAAAGTTCCCAAAGGGATTCTAGTGTGTCCTTCTCCAACAACTAGGGTGAGAATTACTGTTACAGGTCCTTTTTATTCAAATATATGTCATTGGATATACAAGATAAATATTATAAGCAAAATTACATTTTTGCACGATATATCATAATTCAGTCCTTGAAGCAGCATTCTTAAACTTTAATAGAAATGGATGCCAGAAAATATGCTAACTAAATTGAATCTAAATAATGATAATTATAAATATAACTAAAAATAACAAAATCAGAAGGATTTAGTTTATTGGCATCTCATCCCAAGTAGAATGAAAATTCATCTAATTTCATTTAAGATTATTTTGGTGTAAGAAATGTTCTTGGTTTAATTTTTCTTTCCCCCTAAAAAGATGACTAAAAGGTGTAACTCTAAACCTTATTTTTGTTTTGTGTGTCTACTCACATACCAAATGAAACCATATAGAGCTGTATCATCAAAAATCAAAAATTTGTAAGTTACCCTGGTAATTTTCTTGATTAATGCGTCAATGGTTTAAAAAGCAAATAAAAACCAATCCTCTATTGAGATACTTTCTGGTAAAGCACTTTCCACCTTGTTAAAACTGTGAAATGCGTTTGAAGTAGTCCTAATTGAAATTAACACATCTTGGAATCACGAGGTCAGGAGTTGGAGACCAGCCTGACCAACATGGTGAAACCCCATCTCTACTAAAAATATAAAAATTAGCTGGGCATGGTGGCATGCATCTGTAATCCCAGCTACTCGGGAGGCTGAGGCAGGGGAATTGCTTGAACCTGGGAGGTGGAGGTTGCAGTGAGCCAAGACTGCGCCACTGCACTCTAGCCTGGGCGACAGAGCGAGACTCCGTCTCAAAAACAAACAAACAAAAAAACCCCCACATTTTTAGCTACTATTGTGAGAAGCTGACTATTTCTATCACCTTCACTGGTTGGTTTGACAATCACAAGAACATACAAGTTTTATTCAAACAAACATCCTCCCTGTACACCACAAAGCGTTGGTTGGTATGGTAAGTCAATCTGGCCTGCTCCAGAATAATTCTGGGTTGTGGTTTTCTCGGCAATTCAATCTTCAATACAGTTTTCAACATAAAATTGAAGTTCTTTAAGTTAGTTTCTGACAGGAAAGGCAGTTAACTTTCTGCCATTGAGCAGACATGGCCTAAATAAAAGTGTTTTCCTTTCATTCTTGATTTCTAAAGAAAATTTTAGGGGATAACAGTAGAGACCAAGACTCTTCGTATCACTGGGCTAAAGGCGTATCTACCTATTATTATGTTGTTTCAATCAGAAAAATATTCTTTCAAATGTGTACCAGTAAGGCATGGTACTCAAAGAAACTAAACGTTCATTGTAGCACATTTTTAAAAAAAGTGTAAGAAGAGAGGTTTGTCTGTTTTGAGACAGAGTCTCACTGTCATCCAGGCTGGAGTGCAGTGGCACAATCTCAGCTCACTGCAACCTCCCCCTCCCAGGTTCAAGCAATTCTCCTGCCTCAGCCTCCCAAGAAGAGAGTTCTTGATCATGATCCTAGCTATGCCTCCAAATGTCAGCTACTGAAGAACTGTTGAGCATCCTCCACACACCAGACTCTCTGAGGCACAGAAACTACAGAAGATAACAAAATACCTATCTTTAGGTCACTTCATTGCACCTTACTTCAGCATCCCCAGTTTAAAATAAAAGTCATGCTTCTTGCTGAATTGAAGTTAAGCTCTCTGTGGTAATCATTCTTGTTTCTTCTCGGACATACTTCATCAAACATCCTTTCTCTTGTATCTTCGGTCTATTTTCACTTCAAGTCTCTTTGTCAGTAAAAAGTTCAGAGTTTAGTATCTTTTTGAAAAAGGAAGAGAAGGAAGAAAGGAAGGGAAGAGGAAAAACAAGCAGAAATAAAACTTTCCTGGACTTTCCTAGTCCCTCAAGCAAAAGACCGGCCTCTTTCCTTTCTTTCCAAATATAATGAAAGAGCTTAAGGAAAAATTTGATGGATTTGAGAATGCTACAAAAAAATGCAAATTTTCTGCATGCCAAAACATTCTGCAGACCCAGTTATAAGCCAAACAGAAAACTGGGAAAAAAATATTTACACGAAATATGTCATAGGGTCCATGAACTTGATATATACAAAATTCATTCAAATGCATATAAACACACTCACATCCTAAGAGAAAAATAAAGTTAAGGAACAGGAAATTTATAGAAAAACAAATGACTGATAAATATGTAAATAACTTGTCACTACAATAGTAGTCAAAGAAATTCAAACAAAAACCATAAGGTACTTAAAATTTTAGTTCAGCAATTTTTTGAAATGACAATGATAATCGTTGGCTGAAAAAGAATCCTCATACAATTGCTAGTAGCACCATCGATTTATACCTGTTTCTTGGAAAAGAGCTCAGTAACACAACCAATCATCAAAATTTGCAGGTTCCGTATTTGCTAATTCACTTACAAAAATCTGTTACCCCAAAATCAGTATTTCTGGCGGTTTTGCAGTCATTTGTGAACATGCACAGAGTGGCAAAAAACGTGGGTCATTTGATGTGCACATTCCCAGCCAGGGTCAAGCAAGGTGAGGCTCTGCCTTTTCATGTCAGCTTTTAGACTATAAATACATGTCCTGTTCATGGTCTAATTCATGATGTTTTACTCATTAGTAGAAGAGTTAAATAATGCCATCTTTGTATCAGTTATCACATGTTTCAAATAGAAAGTCAACTATTTCCAGTAATAGCTGGAAGTTATTTTTGTTGAGGTGTTGAAGGTGAAACAATATCGTGAATGTTATTGTTAAGTTCTATTAAAAACCTCAACACTGAAGATAAAGTAATTTGATACAGAAGTAATACAGAGACTTATTTTGGTGGAGTACACAGTTGTGGTAAAAGCAATGTTTTTACTAAATTAAGAAGCCGGTGGAACAAAAGTGTATTTGGAGCTGGTTGTGGTCCAAACACAATTCAAACAAGCTGTGATATTTTCCCGATTGAAATAGGGACTGTCTTTGTCAATGTGTATAACTATTTTTACATGCAATTTTAGAGGAACTGAATCAAAAAGCTTTGTGATAAAGCTGATGTCAAAAACAAAATAGGTTGGTGGTACACACGTTTTCTCCAGCTCTTAAGAGTTACCTCATAAATCATCTTAAGCATCCTACAGTGGAATATTTTTGTGAATGTATCTTCTAAATTTTAGTTTTCTGTTTTGTTTTGTTTCGTTTTTTTCTGAGACAGAGTCTCGCTCTGTTGCCCAGACTGGAGTACAGTGGTGCAATCTTGCCTGACTGCAACTTCTGCCTCCCGGGTTCAAGCAATTCTTGTGCCTCAGCCTCCCAAGTAGCTGACTACAGACTACAGGTGCACACCACCATGCCCGAGAAATTTTTTGTATTTTAGTAGAGGTGGGGTTTCACCATGTTTTCCAGGCTGGTCTTGAACTCCTGAGCTCAGGCAATCCACCCGCCTCGGCCTTCCAAAGTGCTAGGATCATAGACGCGAGCCACTGCACCCAGCAGTAATTTGTTTAATATTATTTAGTGTTTTGGGCTAAATAATGGCTGTCAAAGATATATAAGTCCTAACTCCTAAAAACTGTGAATGTTACATTGTATGGCCAAAAAGGACTTCACAGATGTGATTAAGGATCTTGAGACTGGGCAGTTGTCCTGTATTATCCTAGTGGACCCTAAATGCCATCACATGTGTCCATATTCTTATAAGGGAGACAGGAAAATTTGACACAGGCTGAAGAGGAGGCAATGTGACCATGAGATCAGAGACTGGAGTTATGTAGCCGTGGGTGAAGGATTGCCGCAAGCACCAGTCCTATGCAACTGATTTCAGCCTTTTGCCCTCCAGGACTTGTGAGATAATAAATTTCTGTTGTTTTAAGCCATCAGATTTGTGGTGATGTGTATGGTAGCCACAGGAAACTAATACAGTGAGAAATCTTTAATCTAGGTATTTAATAAATGTAGCACCAAAATTTCAGGGGTTCTTACCTCTTAAATTTGAATTGCAATGATTGAGAAAAAGCTTGCAAGCAGGAAGACACTGAAATCTGTCTCAACAAAAACAAGAACTGAACAAAGTAAATGATGAGAGGTCAAATCATGCATGAGGTTTAACTTGAAAAATCTCGGCCGAATAGGAACAGCTCCAGTCTCCAGCTCCCAGCGCGAGCGACACAGAAGACAGGTGATTTCTGCATTATCAACTGAGGTACTGGGTTCATCTCACTGGAGAGTGCCGGACAATCGGTGCTGGTCAGCTGTTGCAGCCCGATCAGCGAGAGCTGAAGCAGGGCGAGGCATCGCCTCACCTGGGAAGCACAAGGGGGAAGGGAATCCCTTTTCCTAGCCAGGGGAACTGAGACACACAACACCTGGAAAATCGGGTAACTCCCACCCCAATACTGCGCTTTAAGCAAAGGGGCACACCAGGAGATCATATCCCACACCTGGCCGGGAGGGTCCCACGCCCACGGAGCCTTCCTCATTGCTAGCACAGCAGTCTGCGATCTAACCGCAAGGCAGCAGCGAGGCTGGGGGAGGGGCGCCCACCATTGCTGAGGCTTAAGTAGGTAAACAAAGCCCTGGGAAGATCGAACTGGGTAGAGCTCACAGCAGTTCAAGGAGGCCTGCCAGTCTCTGTAGACACCACCTCTGGGGACAGGGCACAGCTAAACAACAACAACAACAACAACAACAAAAAGCAGCAGAAACCTCTGCAGACGCAAGCGACTCTGTCTGACAGCTTTGAAGAGAGCGGTGGATCTCCCAACACGGAGGTTGAGATCTGAGAACGGACAGACTTCCTGCTCAAGTGGGTCCCTGACCCCTGAGTAGCCTAACTGGGAGACATCCTCCACTAGGGGCACACCGACACCCCACACCTCACAGGGTGGAGTACACCCCTGAGAGGAAGCTTCCAAAGCAAGAATCAGACAGGTACACTCACTGTTCAGCAGTATTCTATCTTCTGCAGCCTCTGCTGCTGACACCCAGGCAAACAGGGTCTGGAGTGGACCTCAAGCAATCTCCAACAGACCTACAGCTGAGGGTCCTGACTGTTAGAAGGAAAACTAACAAAGAGGAAGGACACCCACACCAAAACCCCATCAGTACGTCACCATCATCAAAGACCAGAGGCAGATAAAACCACAAAGATGGGGAAAAAGCAGGGCAGAAAAGCTGGAAATTCAAAAAGTAAGAGCGCATCTTCCCCTCCAAAGGAACGCAGCTCATCGCCAGCAACGGATCAAAGCTGGACAGAGAATGACTTTGATGAGATGAGAGAAGAAGGCTTCAATCCATCCAACTTCTCAGAGCTAAAGGAGGAATTACGTACCCAGCGCAAAGAAACTAAAAATCTTGAAAAAAGAGTGGAAGAACTGATAACCAGAATAATTAATGCAGAGAAGGCCATAAACGAATGGGCAGAGATGAAAACTATGACACGAGAAATACATGACAAATGCACAAGCTTCAGTAACCGACTCGATCAACTGGAAGAAAGAGTATCAGCGACTGAGGATCAAATGAATGAAATGAAGTGAGAAGAGAAATCTAAAGAAAAAAGAAGAAAAAGAAATGAACAAAGCCTGCAAGAAGTATGGGATTATGTAAAAAGACCAAATCTACGTCTGATTGGGGTGACTGAAAGTGAGGGGGAAAATGGAACCAAGTTGGAAAACACTCTTCAGGATATCATCCAGGAGAACTTCCACAACCTAGCAGGGCAGGCCAACATTCAAATTCAGGAAATACGGAGAACGCCACAAAGATATTCCTCGAGAAGAGCAACTCCAAGACACATAATTGCCAGATACACCAAAGTTGAAATGAAGGAAAAAATCTTAAGGGCAGCCAGAGAGAAAGGTCGAGTTACCCACAAAGGGAAGCCCATCAGACTAACAGCAGATCTCTCAGCAGAAACTCTACAAGCCAGAAGAGAGTGGGGGCCAATATTCAGCATTCTTTAAAGAATTTTAAACCCAGAATTTCATATCCAGCCAAACTAAGTTTCATAAGTGAAGGAGAAATAAAATCCTTTACAGACAAGCAAACGCTTAGAGATTTTGTCACCACCAGGCCTGCCTTACAAGAGATCCTGAAGGGAAGCACTAAACATGGAAAGGAACAACCGGTACCAGCCATTGCAAAAACATGCCAAAATGTAAAGACCATCGAGGCTAGGAAGAAACTGCATCAACTAACGAGCAAAATAACCAGTTAATATCATAATGGCAGGATCAAGTTCACACATAACAATATTAACCTTAAATGTAAATGGACTAAATGCTCCAATTAAAAGACACAGACTGGCAAACTGGACAAAGAGTCAAGACCCATCAGTCTACTGTATTCAGGAGACCCATCTCACATGCAGAGACACACATAGGCTCAAAATAAAGGGATGGAGGAAGATCTACCAAGCAAATGGAGAACAGAAAAAAGCAGGGGTTGCAATACTAGTCTCTGATAAAACAGACTTTAAACCATCAAAGAGCAAAAGAGACAAAGAAGGCCATTACATAATGGTAAAGGGATCAATTCAACAGGAAGAGCTAACTATCCTAAATATATATGCACCCAATACAGGAGCACCCAGATTCATAAAGCAAGTCCTTAGAGACTTACAAAGAGACTTAGACTCCCATACAATAATAATGGGAGACTTCAACACCCCACTGTCAACA